ATGCTTCGAAGAGGAACGTAGGATGTAGGCAGAGGCTTCACTTCCAGACCCTACTCTCTCCCATCCTCCCCGCTCGGAGCCGCCCCATACCTAGGCCCCAACCCAGGCCCAGTTTCCCGGCATCCATCTTTTTGGCACTCCAACAGAAAACCCCTTAGAGCACGTCAACACGCCTTACTAGGACAGGAGTAGGCTCCCCAAAAATATGTCCTCTCCAGAGACGAAATCCTCTTCATCGAACTGTCCTTGGGTCATTCCGTTAGGACAATGCCACAGGGGCCGAGAAGTTTAGTGCTCAAATGTAATCAAAGAAGTTGAGAGAACAGAATACTCATCCTCACCTTGAGGTTTATAATATGCATTAGTTTTGTTTTGTTTTGTTTTTGGGGGGGAGAGGTTTTTGCTATAGGGCGCATGCACTCGCAGGAAAGACAGAGAGAGGCAGAGAAACAGAGTGAGAAATCATCCCCCGGGGGGATGACCATGCCACAATCCCTTCTCCTCCATTCTCCTCTCGGGATCTTAGGCACGCACGCACACGCGCCCGGCGTGAGTTTAAGCCACCCGGTCCAGGACTCGAACCGCAGTCGGCTACATGGGAGTTCAGTGACATAGCCATTACGCTAACTGCTGGTCCCAATATGCATTAGTTTATTAAATACCCAGCCAGTCCTGCAGTAGGTAAACCTGTTTATCTTTGTCTAATCCAACATTTTAAAGATAAATTTGTGCACAGAAGTCTTTTCACATCATGACCTTTCTTCACTTAGTCCGATATTTATGGAGAACCTAGTACATGCCAAACACTGTCCTCTGTGCTGGTGATAAAGCCCTGACCTCAAGGCATTTACACTCAATGACAGTGAGGACTAAATGAGATGTGATTGTGGGTGGTACTAACTAAAAGGAACTATAAAGATAATAAAGACTAACTGAAATGTGATCTCAAGTAGTAGTAAACACCAAGAAAAAAAAAAAGAAAGCAGAGTGGAGAGGCTGGGTAGAGGAGGTACTGGAATCTAGACAGCGTCCCTTATTAATCCTGCTTTAAGGCGACCATGTCCCGTAAAAGGAGAAAACCTGGGAAAATCTTCAGCACTCTCCCTTCACTTCAATTAGTGTGCGCGAATTACAAAGGTACTTATTACCCGACTTGGGAGACCAGCACTAGTAATGGTTAGGTAAGAGAGAAGGCACCCAAGAGACTTAGAGCCCCTCCGTGTAGATGGTCCCTACTCAGTGAACCCCAATGCAATTTTCCATGCTTGTGAAATTGGAGAAATGCGATGGTCACAACGTCCTCGAGTTTAACGATCTCAGCTGTTGCATTTACCTTGCACTGTGCTCCTTAGGAGACAGTGGGCTGGCCTCACTTTTCCTTCCTACAAACAAAGAAACTGGATTGTCAGGTTTCATGTTGTCTCTCATATCATAAAGCAGGTCAGGCCATGCATGCTTTCACTCCCTCGTTCACACCTCCATTAGCTACTCACTGTCCGCGTGGTCCTGTGTGAGAAGCTGGGTATGCAAAAACGAACGTGACCTGCTGGAACTTCCTAGCATGGTGTAGTCAGGACAGGTACTTTCCCTTCGTGTTGCCCAACCGTTGTCTTAAGAAATCAGTAAAGGCATCACAAAGAGATATTAACTCACTTGTTTCTGAGTTCCCCCAGCCACCGAGACACAGTAAAAAAGGTAGATGTCTGAGCTATCCTGCAAGTCTTTACCCCAGAAGTCTTTGGAAGGCTGTTAAATGTTTAGGGTCATGATAAATACAATGACCTTTTGCCAACCAACAAAACATGTGATACCACAAAATCAGGAAGTCTCCACATTCTGTTCACTGGGAACGCGCTGCTTGGAGACTGCCTCCAACCTAAGAAGACACCCAAACCGGCTGGAGCAGAGAAGCCGGTGATTCTAATCCACCACCTGAAGTCAAGTGACTCAGCTGAAGCAGAAGTGGTAAGAAACATCTAAGCCAGGAATCTCAAGTTATCTGGGCAACAAAGCAAGTCATAATGATCGCGTGATGACTCATCCGCCATCTGCCTCTCATCCAGAAAAGATAAGTCCCCATACAGATAACTGGGAGTGAAGCAGTACCAAGAAAATGCAACACGGACTGCTCTTTTAGAAGGATAGAAGGGAAGACGAAATGTGTGAAAAGCTACCACAAGAAAATCGGATTGATTCACAACCTCACTGATCAGTCCAGAAAGATTCAGGTTTCTGTGAGGGCCCGGACCTGCAGCCATTGAAAGGGGGGTAGAAAGGAGGCCTGGACATGGGACAGCCAGAGAACTGGGAACCAGGGGATCACCGGTGAATTCCAGTTTGCCACTGGATCTTTCCACTCCGCTTGCCATCCCAGAAGAGAGAAAAAAGGCCCTCCAGAGAAGATTCCTTTTTAATGAGGGAAGAGACGCTGATGAAATGTTGACGGCCTCTTCGTGACTGTCCCACGCCCACCACCCCTCCGCTCTGATGCACTCTGGCTGCCTTCCCAGAGCAGAGCTGTCGGTGGAACTGCGTGTGGCGGGCCTCTGGTTTACAGAGCTAGTTTAGCACTGGTCCCGTGTATTGTGGGGTGTCGCCTGAACATCCGGCTCTCTGGTGGCTGTAGGCTCCTGAGAGCAGTGTAATGGCTCCTCACTGTCACTCCAGCAGACAGCACAGTTCCCGGGCCAAAATAAGAATGTTAAACATTGTAAGGGGGCAGGTGATAGCGCATTAACAACAGGGCCACGTGGGAAAGGCCCTGGCTTAGTATCCCAGGGCCTTCCTGAACATGCCAGGCAGGTGTGCATGCATGGGCCGGCTGGGAACATGGGCGGATCACACATGGGGACTCCAGTGGGGGAGTGTCTGTCTCTTTCTCCCTCCCTCTCTCTGAAGAAATAAACTTGTAAAAAATCTTAATGAATTCAATTGAACTTCCCCGGAGACTCCTCTGGTCTGTCGCCCTGTGAGTGTAGAACCAGTCTTTGGTCGCAGTTCTTCTACAGAACCCTCGGATACCCATTTAGAGCCCAGCCTTCCCACTTGAAAACTTAGCCCAAGTCAGCGGTGGGTTAATGTTCACTTTTATTCTGAAAAGCGTTGTGGAGTAACTGCAGTGTGTCACACGTGGTTCCTGAGGGTTGGGCGACATTAGGGAACAAAAATCTGTTGGTCGTGGAGCTAATATTCAAGAGGGAGGCGGGAGCAGAAGATAAAACGTGTGGCTGTGCTAGTGCGTTAGACGGTTTAAAGGCCATGGGGAAACGGAGCAAGAAGGGTCAGGGCGTCCAGACACAGCGACCGAGAGGGCCTGCAGCCCTAAAGAGAGTGGTCAGAGTAGGAAAAAGGGAGGGTGGCCAGACTGGACGGACGCAACGACGTTCCGCCGGTGGATACTGG